AAATGATATGATGCCTGGTATTATAGTTTTCCAATTCACATTGTGAAAATTCGAAACTATTATAGACGTGTATGATTCTTTTATAAATTGAACAATTTCTAAGAATCATACGCGTCTATAATAGTTTCGAATTTTCATAACAAATCGCGCGCTAAGGCATCAAATATTGTCACGTGGAAAATTAGGGAAGACAAAAACTTCAGGAGGAGACAACAATTTATTCAAGGCAAGCACAAAACTAAGAATGGTAAACAAAAGATAAGCCACGAGGGAAATTTACAGAGAGTCGCAAGATATAAACATAAAAATGACCACTCTGTTAATAAAAAATAATAAATGAATAAATACCATGTTACATAAATAAAATTAATAAATACCATGTTACAATATAAATAAATTTACATTGTGTCAACCAGCTTGTTTTTCACTTCAACAGTTTCTGTCGCCACAAAAGAACAGTTTTTCTTCTGTACTGAAGCGACTTATTTGTCATAAAACACTTCCTTTTGACAATTTGTTTGCACTGCAGTTTCAGACGAATGATTTCCCTTCCTTCTTTTGTTCATCTTTGTACTAGAAGCTTCTGTTTCCGCCGCAGCGGAGATTTGGGTTAGGTAGGAATTTCCATCCACGCGCGTCTTGTTCTGGCCCACCAGCATTTGTCCAAACGACGTTGTTAACGTTTCACTCTCTCCAAATTTTTAAAGAGAGAATATTCCCCTTTTTGTTTCTCTTATTGCTACTCATCCACACACATGGCACAGGCCATGATATTCATGTTGGGGAGAATTTACAACTGCTTATACAGTAAGCGCGATACATGTCTATCCATGTAAAAACATTTCAACTTTTGCACTTACAAAGTGACAGAGCTCCGTTTGCTATCTTGCACTCACTGGAAGAGTTGGGAGTGTTCAAGAATCAGTTGAATTTTAAGCAATTGATTAATGAAAATAAATTTCAATGAGAGTTCGATCCAGATTGTCCGACAGTATGTTCCATCCAACTCTGAATTTCTTTTTATTCCATTCGAGTTTCGTTTTTATTTATCATACAAGGGCTAATCAAATTCATATTTAGCCAATTCTGGAATAATTAAAAATCAACGAATAGTTGATATTTATTCCGATAGATGGCGCCAGCCATCAGCAACTTTCAGTTGCACGATAAGGAGATGCCTTTTTCTTAATTTATCCACCTTATCCCGGTACAGTTTCACATTTGTGCTATTTTTTCACATTCCTCTCTATATTCAAACATAATTAAAAGTATATTTTATGATACGCAAACTGAAATAAAACGCAAGAAACCGACAACGATCGGTAATGAAGTTCCTGTTTAAGTTCGGAGACATTTGAGCCACTGTAATCCACTCGAAGTTAAAGTCTGTGTATGGAAATGTAGAATTGATAGAAGCACAATAAAAAGATGGATTCAGCGCTTCCAAACTTGTTATTAGTGATAAAGAAAGGCCAGGTAGACCAACCTGTAGTGGCGAACCAAAATTTGGCTCTAACGGAGAAATTGCTCAACAATAACCGGACAATGATGACTTTCAAATAATGGAAAAACTTTCTTTTTATCTAAAGAAAGTGTGTGTTCTTACACTTATTAATGATCTTGGATATCGAAAATTATGCTGAAATGGGTGCTAAAACTTATAACACGAGAAATTATGCAAAATCTGAAAGAGATTTGTTTAGACCTGATGAAGACTTTTTTCTGGAGAACCTTCTCAGGTGTTTGAAGGTGTGATAACATATGATGAGACTTGAATTTATCATTATGATTCTTCTTCAAAGCACCAATGAATGCGATGGATCCATAAAACATAGTCAGTAAAGAAAAATAAAGGCTTCCTCTTTCCAAGGACAAAATCATGATCTCTATCTTTTGAAACCAAGAAGGGCTGATATCCATGGATACCTTGTTCTATCAACAAGTAAATGTATTGTAGACCATCAGAAAAGATAAAACAGCAATTAAAAAACCAACTTATAAAAAAACAACAAAATCAAATTTCATCAGATAATGCGAGACTTCACACGGCGCGCCTGACTTTAGGGAAGATTGAAGGGTGAACTTTGATGCCTCACCCTGCGTACAACCCTGACCTGACACCATCAGAAATCCACTTTTTTGAAAGATTGAAGAGTTGTCTACGTGGCAAAACATTTTAAAGTGACACAATTTTACTCCAAGCTGTTTGAGGGTGGTCCAGAGAGTTGTACAAGGCGTTTTACCAAAGTGTTTTTGAAAGGTGGCAACAACGAAGATAGTTTCTGTCCAAGTGTACATCATCAAGATACTTAACGACGATTCCAAAAATATTGAAGTCCCCTCCCTAGCTAACAACATCCTTTCAGTAATTTCTGAAATTTGTGAAGGAATTATTTCGAGAGAAAAGGGGTGTAAATAATCTGTTAATAACATGGCTTTCAATTTAGTAACATTTTTGCAGTTGGATCCGTTTAAGCAGCAAGGCAACATGGGGTATATAAAACATAGGAAATAAGAAATACAGTTTGATAAGAAGAAATTAAGACCTTGCAATTTTTATCCCTTTGTTCCTCCCACAATGTCAAAGACATGCAATTTTGAGCTTGTAGCTTCTGACCAAGTGATGACAACATTGTAAGGTCTTAAATTTCTTTTTACTACACTATATTTTCTATATTTTTGTGTATATGTATATTTATAATTTTACAATTAGCGTGTGTGTATGTATTTATATTTAAAACAAACAAACACACAAATAATCCTAGATATGCAAAAAATAGCTTATATATATTTATATGTATAGATAAATATAGGGCATATACTGGATATAAATTATTGGTCAACTAGTATTTATAGGGGCAACACGCCTCTCTTTATCAAGGCTTTTCTTTGATTTATAAACTGGATCACGTGGGTATGCGATCCACTCGCGCTGTGCAAGACCAAAGCGAGAAACCATTTAAAGAAAATATTTATAACTGTAAATACATGACTACTTAAAATTATATCCATTATTCCTGTAGAAGGGCAGCTTACGCCCGAAAGCTCGAATTTATTTTTCAAATAAAGAAACTTATCCTTTTTGAATCTTTTCGTTATTATAAACACACAATATATAAAAATTACAACACAAAACTGAAAAGATTAAAATATAAAACTTTATAAAATATGAGAAAAATAAAACAAAATTTTCTTTTTAAAGCTTTTGTTTAACTTGCTTGCAGTATGTCTGTCCACAAATCTCGTAATATTTTTTAAATAAATTTATAAAGCACCCAGAAATATGAAATTTGGTACACTCGTTCAAACCTGATGAAAATGCATGTTGACAAAATTTCAGACTTCTAGGTGGGTCGGGTTGGTCGGGAAGTGACTAATTTCTAAATTTACTTTTTAATTTTGTGTAAAAGTTTTTAATATACTTACACAAGAACTCCCAGATGTTTGAAATTTGGTAAACTTGCTCAAACCTGATGACATTGTAATTTGACAAAATTTCTGAACGTTGCATGATCAGGAGATTGTACATGCTCTTTACATACGTTCATACGTGCTATTTGCATACGTTCATACATGCTCTTTACATACGTTCATATGTGCTCTTTGCATACGTTCATACATGCTCTTTACATACGTTCATATGTGCTCTTTGCATACGTTCATACATGCTCTTTACATACGTTCATACGTGCTCTTTGCATACGTTCATACATGCTCTTTACATACGTTCATATGTGCTCTTTGCATACGTTCATACATGCTCTTTACATACGTTCATATGTGCTCTTTGCATACGTTCATACATGCTCTTTACATACGTTCATATGTGCTCTTTGCATACGTTCATACATGCTCTTTACATACGTTCATACGTGCTCTTTGCATACGTTCATACATGCTCTTTACATACGTTCATACATGCTCTTTACATACGTTCATACATGCTCTTTGCATACGTTCATACGTGCTCTTTGCATACGTTCATACATGCTCTTTACATACGTTCATACGTGCTCTTTACATACGTTCATACGTGCTCTTAGCATACAGTAGGCCTCAAAAGTAATGAAGCATGGTCGAAATATCTGCTATTTCACTTATTTATATTTTCCCTTGTTTTTCTAAATGATAAAAAATGGGACTCTACAAAATTATGATTTTCAATTTTTTCATTGATATGCAAATAAAAGGCGAATAAAATTTCCAAAAATTAAATTTAAATGAAAATCCAATTACAATTTGAGTAATTATTTTACTTTTTAAACACACACACTACAATATGCAAGTACCTGTAGGGGTATAGTAATTATAGAAATCATATATGAAATTTACAACTCTATATAAATAAAAATATAAGTTTTTAGAAATTTCCTATTACAATTACAATTTACATGGCACAAACTGTGATACCACTCTTTAAATTATTTGTATGATTAGAGAATATTCTTTAAAATTCCAAAGTCATTTTTTTTTTGTTCCAAGAAATCAAGGCTGTAATGTTAAATGGAATACGTTTGATATGCAAATTTACATACAAATAAAATAGTCAATAAAAAGTTGCAGTGTCACCTACTCCTTTCTGAAGTTGCCAAGATTCTTAATCACAATCATAATCATAGCTCGAGTTTGCAATTACAAATTATCTCAGAGCTATTTTGATTACTTTCACATTCAAGAGGTTGAATTTCCTAAATATATTATAGAGATTCCTTTAATAATTACACCATATTTGCCAGCTATATAAATATTGAAATTTTCAAATAAGAAACACGACGTTCAAATCACATTAATAGGTACCGCTCAGCAAGAGCAACTTAGTTCATGATAATTGAAACAGTGAATAATGTGTGAAGGTATTCACATATTAGACAAATTTTAACGCGGGATCCAATCCCGGTTAATGACTGTCGGGAATCGAGCGTGTTACCCACTCATCCACCGACTTATATCGGGAATCGAGCGTGTTACCCTCTCATCCACTGATTTGAAAAAAAGGTAATAGCCTACAGCACCCGGTGTTCCCGGGTGGTCACCCTCCCAAGTACTGACCGGGCCCGACATTGCTTAACTTCGGTGATCGGACGAGAACCAGTGTTTTCAATGTGGTATGGCCGTAGGCAAATAAGAAACACGACGTCCATATATCATAATGTCACAGAATAATCTGTGGTAGCTTACTTGATATTTTATCATCAATGTCGCATCATCATCGTGAGTAAGCATTTTATTTGTGAATAGTTTGTTTATATCTCTCAGTTGTGTTTTAGAGACATCTGACGAAATTTGTGAATACTTTTCTTGTTAAAATAAAATTATTTTATGACTACCCCCGCTCTGGTCTTGTTTATACTACAAAAATGAATCAATCTACAGTCGAAGAAAAATCAGGAAGATGTAATCATATTCTTTAAAAATCTTTCTGTCTCTCTCTGCAGTGAAGTTAACAAGTGTGGCGAAGGCTACATCTACAAGTACCATCTTGGTCTTGAGTGGGGAATGCCAGCCAACACCTCGACCTGCCCACTCTGTGGGAAAGAACTCTCGCAGTCCATCGGTGGCGGAGTCTTTCTCGCGGTAGGAGCCACTAATGAAGACCTTGTATATATTATTTATATATATGTATATTTATCAATTATTTTATCTATTTATTCATTTATCTATCATTATTAATCTTATTTATTCATTTTATGTATTTAACCTTATATAATCTTATATGGACGTTATAATAAATCAGTTTCAATTTCAATCTCTCTCTCTATTAATCCCCTAAGATAGTTCAAGTGTCTAAAATAGGTTTAGGTTCTTTACAAGTTCAGAGTCTAACTACACTTTCTATGTGAATAAATATGCAGCACATTTATAGTACGGCAACCACAAGTATCACCATGTAGTCCAATTGTGTTATCTTGGAATAGGTAAAAAAGAAAGAAGTAAAATATCCCTAAGACTTAATACGTTCAGGTAGCAGACGCTTACACCATTAGCTCTGCACATGTGGATCCTATTAGGTCCCGAATGCCCTATGAACAAGTTTGGGACTTTAGGTCATTGACCTTCCATGGATTTCGGATGAAATATCAAAACAATTAGGTTTAATTATATAAGTAGTTTATGTCTTTCTGTGACCTTCTACTATAGTATGAAAAGGCAATGCAATATATTTGAATATAAAAGTTTGAAGTCTATATGTGAAGACACTTACAAAAATAATTTGCCAGGAGTTGGTTTAAAATAGAAAACGACTGAATATTTAGAATCAATGTACACCAGGTAAAATCGACATATAAGCTTATATATAAGGGACACTCTATATTTTAGTGATTTCAAATGAGTCGGGTGATCGGAAGTGGCTTCTTGTAGGCAAAAGTTGTTCAACTGGTGGAGCTGCCAGGGTGTGGCTCTCACGGCGGCGGCATTATTGTCTACGCATTAATTCCTTCCTCACGACTCCAGGAGGTCTGTGAGGGCCTCATGCCTCGCTGTAGTGTGTGGTGCTACCATCCAATGTGCCAACTTGCTATTCGAGCAATTGATTTGAACATTTAAACAAAGAGTCTCTGAGTGAAATCAGGCGTGCCGGGATATAAATCTTCTTAACATTGACCGAAGTTTAGGCTTCTGTGGCAGAAAACGAAATAGTGGAGAGGCAATCAGACTTCAGTCTATTTAGCCTATCATTTATAAGTGAAGATTTGAGGCTATTTACTTTAAATCTCTCTCCCATATACTTTTATAACCTCACTAAAATCTGTTGGCCTAGGCTATTTATACAATTCGCACCATTTTTTCAAACGGAATTCCCAAATTTATAGTCACTCAATTTGTCACATCACACGGAAAATTCCAGAAGTACTTACATAAAAGAAGTCTATCAGAAACACCAAATTGTTCCTGCGGAGAAACCGAACAAACTGCTCTTCACCTTATCTACGACTGTCCGAACTTTGTAAAAGTGAGACATCGATTTTTCCCTGTTCTAAATGATTTAACTCTTTTACATCTGACACTTTGTCTATATAAATTTTATGAACTCTGTCGAATTATACTTGTAAATTTGTAAATATTTAGTTCTAAGTTCTAATTTGTTTGTTGTTTTGTTTGTTTCCTATGTAATAGGCGCAAATATTTCAATATCGCGCCTGGTTGACCAATGAAATGAAAATCTGTTGGCCTAAAAAGTTGGACCTAGGTTCAAATTTTCTAATTCTTTTAAGGTGCAAAATCACAATTAGCCGTACATAGCATACATTTTAATACCATAAAAAGAGCTTTGCCAATAACTCATATACAATTGATCTGATCTGTTTTGTTTAAAGATAATATATCAGTGATATATTATTACTTTACTCTGTTTTGATTTGAGATAATTGAAGGTTTATCATCATTATTAAAGGCTTTGTTTATAATGTGTATGTGTGCAAGAATTGTGAAATAATAAAATAATCATAGTAGCATAAAATTTAGCATCGTTTATTTTTCTTTTAAAGATATCTAAATCTTTAGATATCATACTATAATAAATATTTTTCAAATATTTTAAAAAAACTTAATGCTGTTGACGTTATGTGGCGCTGAGTTTGTTGTTGACACACTTTAAAATGTTATAACACCTTGATAAAGGTTGGCGTTCAGCTAGCTGAAATATTGGTAAAATAAATTATTTTTTTGATCCAATATATGCCTTTTTAATTAAAGATATCTAAATATTAAGTGCAATTTCTTATAAAATAACTTTCACTATTAATCTTCACCCTATTACAGAAACTTATCAACAAGGTTGACGGAATTCTCGAGTATTTCTACCTGGCTAGTCTATTTTAGATTTCTATAATGATTATAATGTACCTTTACAGAACGAAATTCGACCGTGATGGAGTTCCATCCTCTTCCATCTTGTGTCTCTTTCTTCAGCAGCATGTAGCTCACTCACTCCATTGCTGTCTACATTCTTCTTATTATCCTCTCATTAATCCCTCCAAGAGAAGAACCAATTTATATCTTGAAGAGTCACTCGGAATATGGCTAGCATATTCCCAATTCATTTCTGGCACTGTTGTTCTTAAAAGGAAGCATCCTCTCCACACTTCTTTATTGATGACTTTGTCAGTTACTTTAGTCGTTTTCTGTAGCTCAGATGTTTCAAATGGTTTTCTTCTACTTTGGATTTCCTAGCGCTCCACGTCTAGGTTTCACAAACATACAATACACAATGTGAATAAATAGTACAAATGTTATATTGTACTGGAATAAGGTGAATAAATTAAGAATAAGGCATCTCTTTATTGTACAACTGAAAGTTGCTGACGGTTTGTGCCATCTATCGTAATAAATGTCAACTATTCGTTGATTTTTAATTATTCCAGGATTGACCAAATACACATTCTTGATTAGTCAAGAAAAGCTAACCACGTACGCGTTTAGAGCTGTTGGCCCTCGTCAGCGTGGTGCAAGCTTTTTTCTTAATACAATACACAGTTGGGCACACTTAGCATTTTAAAAGTATTCTTGAGCTTCATGTCCAATTTTTTTAGACCTCCCTTGCATTTTCACAAAGCATATTTTATGAAAATATAGATGAACTATTAACTAGATGAGATATTTTAGTCACCCCTTCCTATACCAAGTTCATGCTACATGCTCACTTAGATTGGGACATTTTATCGGAACAAAAACAGTGCAACAAAAAGAAGAAAAATATATACCAACATATGAACAAAACTAAGCGTTTTATATTTGCAATCTATCAGACATGGGAAGGTGAACTTGCCTTTTTACATAGAGTTGACGCCACATGTCCTTCAAGCTGTGTTAGACTCGATATGTCCAGCAGAATTATTGAAGACAAGGGCGGATACTCTAGGTGCTGATATCTGCCACGCTTCAATCCAAAATTATCTGAATTAAATCTTTCTTCTCATTGTACACAACTATGTGTTCAATAAAATTGATTTTGCTATTTGCATTATTTACAGATTTAACGATTTTAATGGCCAGCAGTGTATGTGTGTGTATACAAGTGTGGTGCCAATTTTGGAGATAAAGCTTTGTTTGACCTGTAGGTGAAGTGATAGGAAAAATTATAAAGTTTTAGAAATCATGATAGTTTAACAATGAAATAATAGATATTCTCTCAGGGTGTCGTTGTTCTTTGAGTACTTTTTTTACTTATTCGGAATACACGCGTGGCACAAGCCATGATAATCATGGAGGGTAGTTAGCGATTGCTTTTTACTGTAAGCGCTCCCTCCACATGTCTAAATATGTAGAAATTAGTTCGACTTTTATTCCCGTTTGGTTACTTCCACTGACAGGCGGAGTTGGACTTCTGGAAGAATCGGTGGACATTGAAGATTTTTTTTCCTTTAGAAAAGAAGTGCCCAAAGGCGTGAATCGATCCCGTGTCATGGCTGTAGAAATATACGGCATATATATTCAAAATATCTTTTTTATATATTAAATCAAGTTAACCATTTTTTTAACACTGTAATCTTATATTACAAGCTTTTTTTAAAATCATTTCGGACTTTTTTGTATAGCCGATCATTTCCTATAATACTCGCCAAAATCAGACACTCAAACAAGAGCCTACTTTGATGGAAATTAAACTAAAGGTTGCATAGATCCTTCTATTCAATAAAACTGTATTAACCTGTTCCTCATCTTGCGTGGTATTCGACTGATTTATCTGGATATGTGTTTGATTTAATCATAATATTGTAGCGTAGAAATCAAGTCTTTGTATATCTTAATCTATAAAAGTATTTATTGATGGCATCAGCACGACTAGTCGACAATCATCAACCAACCAAAGAAACTATATACAGCTAGAGAATATTGAACAAGCAAGCTATAGAACATTTATGATAATTTTACAAATACAGAGTAATTATCTGTGTTAAATATTTTCATCGAATTATTAAATTGAATAAAATATAAATTACTTTAACGCCACAATATACTAAGGCAATGCATATTCTTTAGACTTTTTGAAGGAAGACGTTCATTTTTTGCACATCCTTCCACCTATTTGTGCAGCAATTTTAATGCCATTATCAGTTTAGGCTTGGTTCCAGAGAACATCACAGATGAAAACAAATAGGCAGAATGGAATGGTGATTCAGACACCTTCAATGTCAGCTGAGTAATAATTGTGTTTAGAACATCGAGTCACACTTGGATCGTTGTGCCAGGTCCGGAGATCTGGTCCCATCAAGTCCCGAGTGCCCCATGAGATGTATTGTCTCAGAGAATGTCTCTCTCTCCACGTGGATTGCGACACAATGGACAGCGCCCTGACTCATATAGACAATAAGTTACGAAAACTTGAGCAAAAACACTGAAACGACAGACGTAGAAACAAGATGTACGGCACAGATGGGACCGACGATGCACCATTTTGACATAGGATCTATACGGTTTTCCTTTATTTCGGTTCTATCCTTAATCAGGACAATTTTTGTAGCTCTTAAAATTTTATATATTATACGTATATAAGAGAATTCAGTAATTTATTATGTGTAAAAATCATTTCACACATATGTATATTATCTCAAATCTATTAGCATTATTATACACATAAATGTAATTGAATACATCTATAGTTAAAAAAATAGAGTTGGTGGACGAGTGAGTAACACCCTCGATTCCCGACAGTCATGAACCAGGATTGTATCCCGCGTTAACATTTTGTTTAATATGTGAATAACCTTCATATATTATTCATTGTTGCAATTATCATAAACTAGGTTGCTCTTTTTGAGCGGTACCTAGTAAAGCGATTTTGGAACAATAGTTTTAAAATATCGTCTTTTAAAAGATTTGTTGAGTTTCCACTCTGCCCGTGTGCATCCTTTTAAATGACGAGGGGGGGGGGGGGGGGGGAAATAACTAGAGATAATTAATTATGTATGACTTTAAATCAAGTATTTTTGATGGTTTCTTTGGAATTAACGGATGTCACTACAGAGGTCGTGAGAGGCTATCGTGTACCTAAAATATTCAAGAAAGTTGCCCTACTTCGCTACTTAAGGGAAACATAAATTGTTTCACAATGTAGTTGTTAATATGATATATACTATGAAAAAACAATAGAAAAAAATAAAAGATAAGTGGGTCAGGTGTTGATATTAAAAATAAAGAAGGCATCTCCTGACCACGAGCACATGTGCTTTTTAGATGGCAGAGCGCCATCTAGTGGAGCAAGAATAAACTAAACGTTTATTTAGCTTGCTCCGTGATATTTGGCCAACCCAATTTCTTGATAAATCAAGAAAAGTCATCCACGAACGCGTTTCTTGATTTCTCGAGAAGCCATTGGGTCCAAAAATATTTTTGGTCGCAGTGGTTACAGTCTACTCCACGCTGACGAGCGCCAACAGCGCGAAACGCGTTAGTGAATGACTTTTCTTGATTTATCAAGAAATTGGGTTGGCCAAATATCACGGAGCAAGCTAAATAAACGTTTAGTTTATTCTTGCTCCACTAGATGGCGCTCTGCCATCTAAAAAGCACATGTGCTCGTGGTCAGGAGATGCCTTCTTTATTTTTGATATATACTATGTACATATGTATTCAATGGCTCTTTTAGTTGATATATTAATGATAGAGGAAAACATATCACATAAAACATGTTGCATTCTCTAACAACTCTGCAGTCACATAAATTTGATTAAGTCAAATACAATCATATTAGTCACTCAATTTGTCGCACATCACACAGAAAAAAAATTCCAGAAATACTTACATAAAAGAGGTCTATCAGAAACACCAAATTGTTCTTGCGGGGAAACTGAACAAACTGCTCTTCACCTTATCTACGACTGTCCGAACTTTGCAGAAGTGAGACATCAATTGTTCCCTGATCTAACTCTCTTACATCAGCCACTTTGTCTATATAAATTTTATTAACTCTGTCGATTAATATATGGAAATATTTAATTCTAAGTATTAATTTGTTTGTTTTCTCTGTAATAGGCGCAAATATTTCAATACCGCGCCTGGCTGATTAATGGACGAAAAAAAATAAATAAATTCATCAATGAGAGATAGAGAAAGAAAAAAATGATACTTTTTAAAATGTTAAAGATAATAAAAACAATTTAAGAATAATAAAATGATTAAGAATTATCGAATGATAGACTCCTTTTTGAATTTGAATGGGCGCTATTTTAGAGAGTACATTTTGATGACCTCAGTAATAAAGGTAGAGGGTATACACTCATACTATATACCATCTTAATAAATCAAGAAATTGTGTTGGCCAAATATCATGGAACAAGCTAAATCAACGTTTAGTTGACTATTGTTCCACTAGATGGCGCTCATACAATGCTAATGTGAGCGGTCAGGCTATGCCAATATATTTCAGGGAAAATTCCAATAGAGGATATTGATTTTGAAATTCTTCAAATGAATCAATTGTTAGATTCGATAGCTCTTTCTTTTAGCTGTAGCCGCTTAACACCTCTTTTTTCCACGTTGTGAACCTTCCCCACTGTCATAATCGCTTTGAAAATTGCTGTCAAAACATTTCTCTTTTGATATTATAAAAAAAAAAAAGATTCTTAAGTTTTCCCTCTTTCCCCCTCTATAAAATGCTAACCAATTTTACCATATTCCGATATGCTTCATCATAGGCCAGAACAAAATTATCACCTAACATAATTCGTAACAAAGAAAAAGGCTGTTCGCCTCTTTTCACTTAGTTTTCGTTGAAGCTTGTTAACTTGGACCTTTTTATTTGCTTTTAAAAAAGGGAAAAGAGACGTCAAGATGACAAAGCAGTTTCATGTTGATCAAACATGACTTATTTACATTACAGAGCGGAAAGGATGGGGATATATAGCGACGGAATAAATATTGGGTCACCGGGAAAGTTCTTCGGTTTGTCAAATCCAAGCGCGCTCGTTCAGGCGCGTGTTTCGAGTTTTATTTTAATAGAGAAGACATTGATTCCTTTCATTTATTTACTTTTCCCTGGACTCCGCCTTTGCTGATCCCAAACCCATATGATAAAGGAGGAGGAGAACAGTAACAAGCTCGCTAAAAAACCTGGGCTCAGCTGACCCGGCTGATAGTACCCTGTAAAGGCTCCTGATCCAGGGATACAGGATGTACTCCATGTTAGGAGCGGCTGCACATGGCGTCTGTTCCTCATGTCAGAGACGGTCATTTCTTTTGAAGCTAAGTCGGCCTGACACTGAGTCGTGCTCCCAGTCTTAATGACAAAAGCAGATGCATTCTACTTCATCCAGTCACGATGAAGATAAGAAAGAAGAAGAAGACTTTTCCCAAGCACACATGGTATAAGTCATGATAATCGTGAGGGTAGTTAGCGACATCGTTTACTGTAGCTTTTACATGTACTTGTAC